TCACATTTCTCATTCGTCTCCTACACATAATCAAAATGCGACGCATCATGAATTTGTTGGTTTGCCCAACGGAGAATAGGCAAAAATACATACCATTGGGTCTATTAAATTATCACAAGACTTGTCTCTTGATGAAGTTCTACAAGTCTTAAAATTTTGTGTCAACTTGTTGTCTGTGAGTAAATTAACTTGGGCTCTACGATGTCTAATAATTTTTTATTCGGATTTTTGTGTTGTGCATGACGTGGATACAAAGAAGGTGATTGGCCTGGGCAAGCATTTTGATGGGCTTTACTACCTCACGCCTACCTAAAATCCTCACCTCGCTAGTAATGTTCGACGTATCTCAGATCTTTGGCATCAATGTCTAGGACATCTATCACCCACCCCTCTTCACTCTCTATCAAAGACTATTCCCGAAATAATGTTTAATTCTCAGCATATTTTTTATGTTTGCTCTGTGGCAAAACAAACTAGATTACCTTTCACTTCTAGTTCAATTAAAACAGTTGCACTTTTTGATCTTATTCACTGTGACAGTTAGGGAACTCACAACACTCGTACACATTCTGGGGCACGTTATTTTTTTATTGTTGTTGATGATTTTACCCATCTTACATGGGTTCATCTCATGCATTTTAAATTTGATACACAAACCATCTTGCAATCATTCTTTTCTTGGGTTAAAACTCAAATTCATCATAACATTAAGACCCTTCGTTCTGACAATGGTGGTGAATTTCTATCCATGCATTCATTCTTCATCGCTCATGGCACTAATTTTCAACATTCTACATACACACCCCTCAACAAAATGGGGTAGTTGAATGAAAACATCGAGGTATTTTGAATATTATAAAGCACTTCATTTTCAAGCCAATTTACCCTTATAATTTTGGGGGGAAAGCCTTCAAACTGCATGTTACCTTATCAATCGCCTCCCAACTCCCTTACTCTCTCATCAAACACCTTATAAGCTTTTACCCGAGACTTCTCCTTCTTAATCACACCTACAGGTTTTCAGGTGCCTTTGTTATGTCACTAAATCTTACACCCACTTACAAATTTGACACCCGAGCTAGCCATTGTCTTTTTCTTGGGTATCCTCTTAGTCAGAAGGGTTATCGAGTCTATGACATTGATACAAATAAATTTTTTATCTCTCAGGATGTCATATTTCATGAACAAACATTTCCCTTTTTTGATCTTCCTCCTGAAAATCAAACTGACACATCCATTCTCCATATTCCTCATGCGGCTCCAGACCCCCCCTTTGACACCAGCCTACATGTCTCCGGGCCTAACTTTGATAGTCTCACCTCCAGTAGACACGACCCACATTGACCCACACCTTCCCTCTTCAAATGCACTTCCAAGCCTAATTCCTCTTCGACCTCAACTACGCCTCTCTTTCATCTCAATGGCATCTTTGGTTCTCAAACCTCACATCTCTTCCCACCTCCGATCCCATTGACCCTCCACTGGTCAATCCAACTCCCACTGACCCACCACCATTACTTCGCCGATCTGAGCTTGTCAAATGTACTTCTTCCCATCTTCAGAATATCAAGCTTTTTACACCGCCTTGCTCACGCCCAGAGTCATCTATTCCTCCATGTCTAGAACCCGGTATCCACTTCATTGGTATATCTCTTACTCTGGCTTATCTCTTACTTATTAAAATTTTGAGTGTAATATCTCTCGTTTGGTCGCGCCATCTTCCTATGCACAGGCCTGTCATGACCCCAAATGGGTTGCTGCGATGCACTCCGAGCTGCAAGCTCTTAAGGCCAACAACAACTGGTCTTTGGTTTTTCTACCTCCTGCTATTGCCCAATTGGCTGCAAAGTGTATTTCTTTTGGATTAAATACAACTCTGATGGCATCGTTGAATGTTATAAGGCTCGACTTATTGCCAAAGGGTTCAATCAATGCGAGGGCATTGATTTCCAAAACACATTTGCTCCTGTTGCGAAATTAATCACCATCAATTGCTTATTGTCCATTGTGGTTGTTCGACACTAGCATCTGCATCACATGGATGTCCAAAATTCCTTTCTCGATGACGACCTCCAAGAGGAGGTTTACATGATACCCCCGCCTGGTTCTCGTTGACAGTGGGATGAGGTTGTATGTTGACTTTACAAGTCCTTATACGGACTTAAACAGGCTCCACGAAGCTGGTTTCTAAAGTTTTCATATGCTATTTGTGGCTTTGGTTTCAAGTAATCTCGAGCCAATTACTCTTTGTTCACACATGTACATAGAAGTTCCTTAACTATTATATTGCTTTATGTGGAGAAAGTAAAGAAGTTGCTATCGCTTTGTTGCCAATAATACAAGCCGAGGTCAAGTGCTCAATATTGGAACTCACTGATAAGGTAATGAGTGAAGTGAGTTTCTTCATGAAAGACGCAAGACAATATCTAATTGTGGGACATAGAGATATAAATGCAACTAAAAGGGATGAGACTAGTAAAGAATGTAGCAAATTAAACAAGGAGATGAGAATGTTATGACCAAGACTAGTAAAGAATGTAGCAAATTAAACAAGAAATGTGCATTTGACATGAACAATCCATCAACACCATTATTGGATGAACAAAGTTGCATTCAAGCTGAGGTATGATGAGCGATTAGGAGTTCTAAGATCAACAATAAGTTGGTTTCTTATTACCGTTTACATTTGTTATGTATGCATTTATTTGGATTACATCCATATAGAATTAAAATGATAAATAAATAAAATTGTTTATATGTTGTAATGTACTTAAATAGTGTTTATTCCTATACATAATATTTGAATTCCCATTTCTACCCAGTTTAAAATTGGAGTGGAAAAGAGGAAGGTCACGAAGTTACCCCATGGTGATTGAAGTCGAATAAAAACACGTCATACAGGCATCCACGACATCATTATAAAGAGCCATGTGTTGACCCGACAATTGGAAAGGCAAAGCTGATATAAAAGATGGAGTCTAAGATAATTCAAATTAAAACCTAGTGACTTACAAGATTCCGATTTGGACTTATTTAGTTATATTTGTAGGCTTAATGACCCTTCAAGGTAAATAGTTACGACTCTTGAATTAACAAATCGACCAAATTCCCTGTATGTAGTTGTCTACGTCAATTTTATTATAACTTTTGTTTTTGGCTAACTTCTTTAATTTAATTTAATATATGTGATAACTTAGCCTTATTGAATCATCAATTAGTAATTACGTATTAATTATTATTTATGTAGCGAATATTTAAATATGTTATTGATTTAATTATACTGTGCAAAAATGAAAAAATAAATTACTCATTTTCGTCTGGGTGTCTTAATTAAATCTTCCTAGAGCCCAAGATTGAGAGCGAAACCTAACTCGTAAAGTCATGGGTCGAGTTATGTGATTATCCAACCCTAATCGAGTCCTAAGTGCCCTGCAATAGGTTTACAGTTAGGGTTCGAGGCTTGCAAACGGTTTTGGAACAAGTTCGAAAGCTATGGTTTCTATTTCGAGACCTGGATTTTTGGTTTGGAGACTAAAATTCCATTTTTAGAATACTAAAATAATTTTCTAGAATTTTAAAATCCACAAAGATCATTAAATATAATTAATTAATTTTTATTAAGTAATTTTATGAAATTAATTCAAATATTTAAATACTAATTCTTCACTAAATAAGTAAAAGTAATTAAAACATAATATATTCAACGGCTATACCTTTAAAATATTCTATTTACTATTCTATACCTCTAAATAGTATAGCCACGTTTGCTATACACCAAAATATTATATTTAGAATATTTTTACGTACAGCCGGTCAGCTATACTCTAAGAATATAAAATCTTAATAGTATAGCCGATGGCTATACTCGAAAAAGAATATTTTAACACATAGCTGCGCGGCTATACCCTGTAACAAACTAAGAAAAAACATCTCCTGAAGAATTTTCGTAGGCACAGGTCTCTGCCGACAAATGTTTGTCAGATTAGACCTCTCCACTCGTAAGCTTCGGCTCTATTTCTAGGCTCACACCATCGACATACTCACCAATCAGCCTCTACGCCAAGTCCTACAGAAGCCAGAGACATCGGGATGACTGATCAAATGGGCTATCGAGCTTGGTGAATTTGACATTCACTACCACCCTTGACCTGTTGAAAAAGAACAAGTCGTAGCCGATTTTATCTCAGAAGTGACGCTTCCATCAGAAGGCGAACAACTGGCCAATCCTATCCCTAAACCACCCTCAGTAGGCCTAGACGATCATCCTACCAAAGAGGCATTCAATCCAATGATCCCTCATTGGACACTATATGTAGACGGTTCATCCAACCGACAAGGCAGCGGAGCAGACCTAGTCCTAAAGGCACCAGATTAAACTACAATTGAATACGTCATTCGATTCCAATTCCGTGTCTCCAATAACAAAGTCGAATACGAAGCCCTCTTGGCAGGTCTTCAGCTTGCAAAAGACATGGGAGCTAAACAACTCACGATCTGTAGCGATTCTCAACTAGTCGTTAACTAAGTAATCACCAAATTTGAAGCAAAGGACGAATCCATGGTGACACACTTAGCATAGGCCAGTCGATTGCTCAACCAGTTTAACATATATAAAATTCGGCAGGTCCTAGATCCGAGAATAGTCATGCCGACGCTCTCTTAAGACTTGCATCCGCGATTGACGACTGGGTAGGGTGCCACGTACCAATTGTAATCCTCGCTCGGCGGAGCACTACCGAAGCTGAGGTACATGCCGTTCGGCAGGACCCAAGTTGGACGAATCCAATCCACACCTACCTAACTGACGACACGCTTCCAACTAACAAAACCGAGGCCAACGCCGTCCACTGTCATTCGGCGAGGTATCTTCTTCTGCAAAAAACACTCTATCAATGCAGTCATTCCCGAGCGTTGTTACGCTGTGTCACCCCACAATAGGGGACTATGTTCTGTGAGAGATTCGTGAAGGTGCTTGCGGCGACCATTCGGGAGCCCGATCCTTAGCCTTCAAAACCATTCGACAGAGCGATTATTGGCCAACTCTCTACTCCGATGCCATCAAGCTTGTGCAGCAGTGCGACCAGTGCCAACGTTTTGGCTTGATTCCGAAGTTGCCTGCCTAACCTCTCACCCCAATGGTCAGTCCCTGGCCGTTCGCACAGTAGGGACTGGATCTCATTGGCCCTATGCCGCAAGGTAAGAGACAACTCAAATTCGCAATCGTCGCGGTGGACTACTTCACAAAGTGGGTCGAAGTCGAAGCCCTTGCTACGATCACCGCCGCTAAAATCGAACACAATCATCACAGACAACGGTAAGCAGTTCGACTGCTCTCGCTTCCGGCATCTATGCTCCTGATTCAATATCAACATCTTTTTTGCATCTCCGGCGCATCCACAATCTAATGGACAGGTAGAGGCCATCAACAAGATCATCACAAAGACACTCAAGAAGAAACTCGGACCTGCTAAAGGCGAATGGCTAGAAATACGACTAGAGGCATTGTGGGCCATCAACACATCATACCGAAGATCAACAGGCGAAACCTCATTTTCTCTCGCATTCGGAACCGAACCTGTCGTACTGGTTGAAATTAACACACCAACACGCTGAACGACATCCTACAATCCATACCAAAATCAAGCCCAGTTTGCTTTGAACCTAGATCCATCGAAGAGCACCGATCACAAGCTCAGCTTTGGAATGCCACATATAAGCAACGAACCTCCAGATATTTCGACTCACGCGTCAAACGCCGATTGTTCAGGATAGGGGACTGGGTTTTATGCAAAGTCTCTCTCGCAACGAAAAAACCTGCCGAAGGCACCCTTGGCCCTTCATGGGAAGGTCTCTACGAAGTCATCGATGTCTGTTGACCCGGTACCTACCGATTGCGTGGATCTGATGGTCAGACCCTTGTTCACCCTTGGAATGTCGAACATTTAAAATATTACTACAAGTGACTGAACCTTCGGCTAGCCCACTTTCGTAAAATTTTTTCTTTTCTTCAGCATTATTGTCTGTTTTCCTATTCTATGCATTCGGTTACGCCTTAAACAACACCACAATATCAAACATATACTACCTACGGCATACATACATACATATTTAGAATATAGAAAAATAACAAGACTGATTAAAAATTAACTTGGATAAAAAGCCACAAATATGCTAATATGTCTTAACAAAATCACGCCTTTCGGCATCGTACAAAAATACACAAATATAAAGAAAAATATATCTAAACTACTGAACTGGAGGATCGGCAATGGAAGCATCGGCAGTAGAGGCATCGGTAGCAGACAGTGTAGGAACGACATCATCCTCCTCGCTGCTCGAGTCGGTGTCATCTGAGGAATCATCATTAACATCTTCACCCTTATATGCTTCTACCATCTCTTTTGTGACACCTTCAGGCGACGGAGGAGGATCCCAGAGGAAGTTCAGGTTCAGTTTCTTGTCTGCATTGTAACGCTTGAACCGGTAGATAAGGTCGTCACACTGATCCATGACTTCCTTGTCCAGCAGCACGGTGAACTCCTCCGAAGATCAGTAGTCGGCCCCGGCCTTATTCTTGGCCGCCTCCACCTCCGCAGCACAAGACTGGACGATTGCATCCTTTGCCGAACGGCAGATGTGCGAACTACTCATAGCTCGGTTCTCCCTCACCAGTTATGTCGAACTCCGTGATTGTCCCGAGTAGTGTAATCCAGAAGTTCGGACTAAACTGCCTAGGAGCGTAGCCGATCTGTGCCAAAATCATCTGCACCGAATGCCTCCACGGAAGCTGAAGGCCGTGCTTGAAGACATTGGTGGAGAAGACCACCTCCTCCTCTGGATCGCTTAAGGACTCTAATGGCCCCTGGAGTCGCATCACTACTAAATCCGGTATGTGATACTCAACCCTAATTTTTGCCAACTCAGCCTCAGTTAAGGTGTTTGGCTCAAGGAAATCTACATTGAATACGGGGCCCTTCGGCCTGGCCATTGGCACTCTCTGCTTGCCGGTAACAATAGACAATATCCTTCCCCAGGATCGGCACTGACACATCAGCCTCGGTCACCTCGACTTGGTGACTGGATGTCGACGGCTGAGAGCCATCCACTTCAACCACCACTAGGCTTGAAGTGCTCTCAGAATCGGTGGACACCTCTATAACCCCCACTTCCTCAGTGCTCTCAAAATCGGCACTCTCAAGTTTTGCAATCGAGCTCTCTGAAGCCGATTCTCCCTAAATTCCCAGGCCAAATGCCTCCACGGAAGCTGAAGGCCGTGCTTGAAGACATTGGTGGAGAAGACCACCTCTTCATCTGGATCGCTTAAGGACTCTAATAGCCCCTGGAGTCGCATCACTACTGAATCCGGTATGTGATACTCAACCCTAATTTTTGCCAACTCAGCCTTAGTCAAGGTGTTTGGCTCAAGGAAATCTACATTGAATACGGGGCCCTTCGGCCTGGCCATTGGTACTCTCTGCTTGCCGGTAACAACAGACAATACCCTTCCCCAGGATCGGCACTGACACATCAGCCTCGGTCACCTCGACTTGGCGACCGGATGTCGACGGCTGAAAGCCATCCACTTCAACCACCACTGGGCTTGAAGTGCTCTCAGAATCGGTGGACACCTCTATACCCCCCACTTCCTTAGTGCCCTCAAAATCGGCACTCTCAAGTTTTGCAATCGAGCTCTCCGAAGCTGATTCTCCCTCAAATGCCCTTGGGCTATCACTATAGTCTGATTCGGTATCTGACATCTACAAACAACAACGAAAGGAAACTAAATGCCATGCCAAAATCAAACAACTATCCTAACGCCTAAAAATTCATGTTCATCCATGTTCACCTACATTCATACATGTTCATGCAACACTTGAGAAATTTGATTTAGTTTTGAAGAGAACACGGCAACATACCTTGTTTACACGGTGGTTGTTAGATGCCGGAAATCGCCTCTGCCGCAAATCCTTCGTTGGAAATCACCTACGTCGCCGCAATGCACTCATCGGAAAATCACCTTTCACAAGCTCTGGTTGCTTTCAAAAATTTCAAGTACCCCTTTTACCGTCGCTTCGGTCCATTTATAGGATGAACCTAGCATCGGGAAACGAAATGACGTGACTCCTCGTAGCCCTCTCGACACGTGTCACACATGCATAGGGAAGCCTAAGAGTCACAGCATCCAACTTGAACACTTCAATTCCCAAACTTTTCCAAGCGCAAACTGCACCAACATATGGTAGGCACACGTGGGTTGAGTTTTCACTCACTTCCTGTGCTGAACGGTAGACGTACATTGGTCGAGTTTTCACTCACCTCTTCTGTTGAACGGCAGGCACACATTGGTCGAGTTTTCACGCACCTCCAGTGTCGAACGACAGGCACACATTGGTTAAGTTTTCTTCAAACTTTTCACACCTTCGGTCCTTGCTGCCGTTCGCTTCCAATCTTCCAAGCTCTTTCTTTCTTGGGGAATTAGGGGACTACATGACTACCATTGGCATACCACGGAAGATGCTCGTACCCGGGTCAAAATGCCGAAAATCGAAGACACAAGCAAGTCCCCAACCAAGAAGTCCCTTCTCAATCGGAAACTTGGGGGACTCCTGTTTGTATCATATCTGACCCCCCACTCACATCATGACACGTGGAAAATGAACGAGGTGGAGACCAACTCTGTGAGCCATGCCGAATAGGTAATCAACATACAACACCGATTCATACATGTTCGTCAAATCGGCAAGTTCTCCCGATCAACTCCATTGGACAGATCTTCGGCACCTGATGCCGAACGACCAGTCAGCACACCTGGCCGATTCTGCCAAATAACCTCGGAACTCCCTCCAAGGCCTGTCAGGGCACGTGTCGACCTTCGAAGACTCTCCCACAAGTCCCAAATCGAAACTAAGTACTAAGTGATCACCCAAAACCCTCTATAAATAAAGCCCCTTGGCCCAGCCAAAAGGTAAGTATTAAGTGATCACCCAGTCAATGAAGTTGCTTTTAGTCACTAACTTTGGCATCAGAGGGTCTTCGGCCGGTACCACACCGGTGCTATAGACCTCACTTGTCGTTTCTTTCCTCAGGCCGAATCCAGGACCGCACCTTGAGAAAGGGCATCACGGACCGAAGACTCCTCGGGTCCAAACCATCCACATCACCTGTAAGTTAGCCTTATCTCTATCCGGTTAGTTTTAGCGCTAACAAATATAATATCTTAACTATATAGCCGGATGGCTATACCCCAAAAAAGAATATTTTAAAGTATAGCCGCCGGCTACACCCTGTAGCAAACTAAGAAAACACATCTCCCGATGAATTTTTGTTGGCACAGGTCTAGTCGGCAAATGTTTGTTGGATTAGACTTCTCCCGACAAATACTACCTCTGCCAACGAAATATTGTCGGGAGAGGTTTTTTTTTTCTTTTTTTGAATTTTAAAAATACAAAATTAGTTTCTTTACTTTGGTTTTTTGGCCAACTTCTTTAATTTAATATATGTGATTAAGTAATATCTTATGGCGATTGAAGTGGAGTAACTAGTTCATGATTGTGATGCGGTTCAAAATTCGTCACGACGTAAGTGTCACATTTCTTCTCATAACCTACCCAGAAAAAGGCCGGACAATTCTCTCTTGTAATTAGCTTCGCTAGCTGAATCCTATTGGGTACCTCATTAAACTTTTCATTTCTCAAGCCTTTTTTCGAACAACACCACTGTCTCCTACTTACTTTCCCTTTCATGTTACGAACCAGTATATCATTTCTCATGCTAAATCCAATCGCCTTTGCATAACTCATATAATATTCTTCCGCTAATTCTATTGTTTTAAACTATTTCTCCATAACTCACTACTTTGACTAACCAGATTTTCGGTTGACATATGCCACTCTCTGTTGTTGATGCCCTGTGACTCGACCTTTCATAACCACCGAGATACCCCGAATCACTACAACCACTCTTTGATGTCTCTACACCCCTGCCCGTCTTAGCAGACTACTCCATGCTTGAGAAACATAAATTCAAACTAAAATTACATTATAATCTAAGTGCTAACATACTTGCCCCTCAATTCACACAAATGAATAATCTTAACATGTAATTGCACATAGTGACGACAATAATATTGCACACAGGGATAACTGTTTCACAACAAAAAAATGTGCAATTGCATGAACTCTTGACCCAAAATACATTCAACTTCTATACAAGAAAAATAGGGTCATTTGAACTCTTACTTGATGCTTCCAAACGTTCAATGCCTCCTCTTTCAACTTCCTTTCACCAACAACTCAAATGAGGAAGCAATGTTGTCATTCAAAGCCAAGAAGGGTGTAAATCTTCAAAATCTTTACGATGATGCTACGACACTTCGAACAATGATATGTCGACCAATGTGCACCGGAGCACCCCTCAACCAACTGATTCTTCCCCCAACACGATTCACGACCTATTTCATTTTTTTGGACAAGTAGAGGAGCCACACCCATGATCTGCTTCTTCCTTAGCAATGAATCAACACCTCTACGAAGAAGAGCCCACTGCTCCCTTGTTTTTTAGATGCTCGGTCATTTTTCTTAGACCTCGTTTTTCAGACGGCAACTCCTCCCTCGTAAAGAAGACTTCACACGTCACCTGTGAGATTGGCTTAGTTTTGTCCCTCACTCACGTGCTTATTAATTAACAAAAGACTAAACAAGTCATCAAGTCATTTAATCTCCGTTCTTGATTTTTAAAATGAAATATGAGCCATTGGATGAGTGACTGCACGGGTACCACCAATGTACCACAGAATTTTCCCAAATTCTTAACTCATTTTCTTACACTTCTTCACAATTAGACTTGTTAATGGATCGGATTTTGATCCAAATTATAATTAATGGGAGATTGTTGAGATTCAAATCCGATAACCTATTAACTTAACAAATCAAATGTAAAAATCTAATGAGGCATGCGCGTAGCTGTAACTTTTTTCTTTGACTCAACATCTGGTTGCAATTTCCTTTCTTTCTCCATTTCATCATCCTATGGGATACACGATGAGGTTTTCTTCATAATGAGATTTACCTAATAGTTAAATCCCTTGACTACTTTGCCACCTAAAATTACATTCCTTTTTTAAGAGGCTGACTAAAAATTATTTTTTCTTTGTTCCCGTCCTACCCTTTGGGTTGAAAACAGGAAATAATATGATTTTAAGGTATTAATTAATTAAAAAAATTAATTGCTTCTGATTATAATGATTTTGTGTAATTCATTATGTGTTTCTTTTTCAGTTTTACCATTCAATTCATTTTATTCATGATCATGCAAATTAACAAAATTTTCTTTTTTACAGTGTTGGAAGAGATTTCAAATTCGAATTAACATGTCCATGCGTAGAGGAAGGTAATTTAGTACAGGTATATAGGTATTAATAGAATTTTGATTCATTTGAAGGTTCAAACTTCAGCCCCTTAAAAGCAGCAAACTCGATCGGTGCCTTAACACAACATACGTCCAAACAGTTATTCTATACTACCACGACCATAACGTCATCTTTCGCAACTCCGCCACGTGTACCACCACAGCCTGCCTCTTCATCTCTTTCCCTTCTCTTCTCTGCATGTTAGAGTACATTGCGTCTCTCTCTCTCTCTATCTCTCTCTCTCTCTCTCGCTCTAGTTCTTCTCACTCTTCCTCCATTTTCCAACCTTAATATTTTGAGATGAACCCTGAAAGCCTGATAGCTTCAGCGGCCATAAACATAGGGCTGGCCATTTTCATCCTCACCCTCTTCTCCATCCTCAAGAAGCAGCCCTCCAACGCCCCCATCTACTTTCCTCGCCGCCTCTCTGAATCTCAGCGCCAAAGCCAAAGCCAGAGTCCTAGCCACCGCCGCGACGACAATCGCTCCGCTCTCTCTCTCCGCCGCTTCCTCCCTTCCGTCTCTTGGATTTCCCGCGCTTTTCGCGTCTCCGAGGACGAAATTCTCCAAACCAACGGCCTCGACGCTCTTATCATCATCCGCCTCTTCAAGTTCGGGTAATTAATTACTTTTATTTTTTTCTATTTGTTACGTCTATGAGATAATTACTGATTTGCCCATGCACTCCTTATTCTTCCTTGGTAATAAAGTAGTCCCTCAAAAATGTTGTCTATGGAATAAAGAAAAAAATGTAACAGATTTGTTTAATTTACGAGGAACATGTTCCAATGAACGCACAACGTAAGAAGAAACATAGAAACATAGATTGAGGACCTGTAGGGAAAAATAGAGCTGGGGAGTTTGGGAATTCAAACCCAAGATAATTTGAGCTTGATTGGGTCATATATCTTCTCTGCTTTCCGGCATCTTTGAAGTATGCTTTTTCTTTTCAATGTTTTATTGACAATTCTGCTGTTTAAAAGGTATTAAACATGCATACTCTTGCTTTGCAGTATAAAATTCTTTGTGGTATGCTCTCTTGTTGGATTGCTGATACTTCTTCCAGTAAATTATAGTGGCGACGGTCTTACCGCTATAAGCCACCATTCCTTGGATTCTTTCACAATATCTAACATTAGTCCAGGTTCCAACAGGTGAGAGACCGTCTTAACTTTGCAAATTAGTCCATTGTGTGATATGTATTATAAAAAATATAAATAAAAGTAGTGTGTGATGCAAATTTGTGGCTATAGTTGTTGATTCCAGTTCTTTCTCCAACCAAGAATTGAATGTTGTGAAAGTTGTTGTTATTTTTTTTTTTTTTTTTTTTTTGTTCTTTTTGTTTTTTTTTTTTTCTTGTGATGAATTTTGATTTTGCTTCTTGAACATTATCTGGACTGTTGATATAAACACTGACTCCCTATCCCTAGCCTGCTCTCTAGAGAAATCGTTGAAGATTGTAGAATATTTTTTGGTTAAATAACTGAATTGCGCCATCTATAAAAGGGAATATGGCCACCTGTGTTGTGTAGGAGATGGAGGAAAAGATATTTTGAGATGTGGGAAAGAGGAGAGTCCCCTGTGAGAAGAGAGGTGAGTGTCATGTGTATTAGTCTATTAGACTTGTAGAATTACGGTATTGAAGTTTTTGTGCCCCTTGTTTTCATCAACAAATACATTTTTTCATAGTCCACTAGTTGGCTTACCTTTTTTAAGAAAGAGTCATCTTATGAAAATCATATTAGCAAACCCTTCGACATAGAAATTTGTGGTGTCATTTTTGTAGATGTACTAATCAAAAGGCTGGCTGTGTAGTCCCTAGAAACATTAGGAATCAAATATCAAGAATGGAAACACAGGCATGCACCTACTTTTCGCGTGGTTCATATATTTAAGTTGTGCAATGATACATATGAAGAATTATAATACTGGATCACTTAGAAATCTGTTTGAACATTTCTGCTTCTCATCCCTTCTAACTTCACTTCGACATGCTGAACATACAGGACTACTTCCATGCTATTAGAGCAAACTAGTCAAATTACTGTTGGATATGCAGATTGCATGTTTGAATAGTTAACATTTGAGCCTCCAACAATTATTCCATTAATTACATATCCAATTTGACCTATGGACGAATACGCAAGCATTCGTTTCGTGCTTGTTTGAGTATTAGCAATGAGATTCCCCAATATCATACTAAGAATAGCTAGGATTTCCAGAAGAAGATGCCATTCGTTTGATGAGAAATAAAAAGGAATATAAAAAATTCGAGTGGCTGAAGCTGAAGCAGCTACTTTCAAAGTAACAGCAAGAAAAGCAACAACTGGAGAGGGAGAGTCAGAGTCGAAAAGAGGATTCCTCACTTCTTTCTCTCATTCAAAACCGTGCATTAGATTTTTCATCTCGCATGGCTCCTAAGTGATAAAAGAAAGAAGAACTTAATTATTCTTAAGTATATATAATGTGCATTATTTGTTAGGTAATAATCCTTTGTCATGTTCCATTTAACATTTTGTGATTGGTAGATGAGGTTTGTTATGGAGGTGTGTACTTGTTAATGGGTGATCACCCATTAAAATTCCTTAAAAAGCCACCAAAGTGTTAAACCCACTGGTGGAACTCCTTGAAAAGAAGCTTACAGTGAAAGGGTGCCTGTGTGTTTATATATTGCAATCCCAAATGTACTCAGCAACGTGTGACTATGCCAACACTCCCCCTCAGCGCTGGCTGTAGACACCACTTGACTCTTCCTCACCACGCAGGGAAGGAAACATGAACCCAAGCCATCCGTGCAATTCACCCACTTTGATACCATGTTAGACCTATGAGTATAACTTGCTCTTGAAAATCGGCTTGCAAGGAAAGTATATTATGTTTATCTGCTGCACATCCCAAACTATCCAGGCGATTTTAGCTATTCTAGCACTCTCTCTTAGTGAAAGGGCTGGAGACACTTGGATCTCCCACTCCACATTTGCGAAGATATGAATCCAACCCATCTGGTACATCTGATGTGATTTCAAGGTTGCAGATTATCTATTCTTTTAACTGTAAAGTGTTGTTGAAGTACACAAAGAAACTTTTAAAAAAAGCTTGTCGTTCTCCAGTAGATTTTTCCATTGAGTAGACATGATTGCCTGATTGCTAGAAGCTGATCTTTGTCATATTGAGTTTCTAACTTACTTTGCTTACCGAGTTTCTCCAATTCCACAGGCTTTGGGTGCATTTTTCATGTCTATGGTTTATATCTCTCTATGGAGTATACCTACTGTACAAGGTGAACGTTACACTCTCACAATCCATATATCCAAGAATTAGTTACTCACAAGATCAAAGTTGTATGTAATAGAGGTTATTGGAATTTATAATGTTGCTTCTTGGACCTTAACACTCAGATAAGTTTACGTAACAGGTGACATCCTGCATCATTTCTTCTTCAGGAATATAATGAGATTTTGGCTAAAAGGATTCAACAACTTCTGAACATTAGGCATCAGCCTAATCAGTGTACTGTTCTGGTTCGGGAAATTCCCTTCTGCAGCCAACACAAGTCTCGTGGGTGTTGTGTTGAAAAATTCTTCTCTAAGCATCATCCATGTGCTTATCATTCTTATCAAATTTTGTATGATGGAAAAGAATTTAAGGAGTTGTTGGTAAGGCTTGAATTATTTCAGATCACCTACTCCATGCATCAGGCCACTATGTTTCCATGCCTAGCACTCTGTATGTTTTATGCATTCCTTGGATACTATGACTTATATCATGGGATTGTTTTAGATTTCGTTAAACAAAGAGTAAGAAGGCTAGAGGACAATTTGGGGTGATTATTTGCTTCGTTTTCTTGGCGTCCCTTTTTCTTTCTACTAATTTTTTCTATTTAATAAAAGAATGAAAATTGGAGTGGATTCATTTTCACATATCATGGCCTATTCTGGATGTTTTAGTTATTTCCTTAAGGCTTCTTTGAATCTCATAGGTCATAGATTTGCTTTTGTGAATTAGTATAGTTTTCTTATGATTGTAATTTACTGCACACATTTTGCTTTCTATTATGAATTTTTTTTTCTCTTAACATGATTTTAATAGTAAAATAATTGGTGTTTTTATGTCACCAACCAATAAGTAGAAATTTGTTTCCGTATCTACCTGCAGGTTATGAACTCTTACTAATTATGAGGAGCCATGCAGCTTGCCTCTTGACTTGCACCAGTGTTGTCCCTAACTTGACCACCTTAATGAGATCAGTTATGGTGTTTTATCTCAAAAGGCCCTGGTGCAATGAGATATCCCACTTTATATTCTCAATGCTGGACAACTACTTATATGATATGGGAGAACTGTCTTTGGTCCCCAATTCCTAACAATCACGAACTTGGTTCAAATCACCATTCCTATCAAATTCCACCTTGGATCAATTTGTGACTGTCTATCATGTTCAAGAACCCACTTCACCTCCCAATTAGGATTTTCTTGAGCTTGCTCCACCTAGAAAAGAATTGTAACCACATCTTGGATTTTATTTGAGCTACCCCACTTAACGGGATATTGAGTTGCTGTTGACCATGTGCCGCTTCCACCGGGCAATTGAGTCGCTATCGACCATGCGTCTGCCCCACGTAATGGTAATCATGTGCCATGTGTCGCAGTCAAACCACTGGCTCTGATACCACTTGGGACACATATGACGCTGCCCCTAGATTGTAGCAATATTGTCCCTCACTTAACCATCTTGTGGAGTTTAAATGTCAGGTTTTATCTCAAAGCCCTCAATGCACATTAAGGAGATTTCCCAGTTAATAAACCTAATGTTGGATAGTCACTTATTTGATGTGGAACAGTTTTATTTGATGCACAAATTTTAACACTAGCACGAGATGCATAAGATGGGTTGTAAGGAAAACCCAAATTAAGAGTTCATGAGTTGATATTAATAGTCAAACAATGATTTTTGGGATGAGAGAGGTGCTTTGAGTGAATGTGCTCATGGGCATTCACACAAGTTCCACATAGCTCTGGCTTAATGCAATGTGTTTGGCTTTGTGCTTATATTTTGGTAATATCCTATTGCAGGTACAGCTTATGTTTGTTTTTTCCCATAATTTATATGTAAGAAATGGATTGAAGTATTGATATCAATCAATATTAGCACAAGACATTATCCACTTTTTAATGATTACATATGTGCCTTGTATTATCTCGACACTGGTGCATATTCTCGGTGACGGGATAATTGTTGGATGTTAATGTGGGACTATGATTTGTTGTTAACACTTATAGTTGCTATGGTTTCTCATCCTTCTTTTACTTTTACTGTATTTTATATTTTTTATCGACGTCTGATCCAGATAATCGTATGTGTAGAATCAGGCAAAATCCATTGAAAAAAGGATAGAGGTCTTGAGAAAGCGGTCTGTGGTCAAGAAGCATAACCAAACACCTTTGCTTTTGAATCCGTCTAAAGAAGATTCTGTGAAATTATCCTTGTACGAGGAAAAGCTTGAAGAACTTCATCACAAGATACACCAATTGCAGTGTGAAGATATGCTCAAAGAAAAGGTAATTATCATTAGAAATCAAAGCCCTAAAATATTCTAAAAATCCATGAATCCCTCCGCTCCCAGCATATGTATGTGTCATCATATTACAGAGTTCTATATTGTCTTGTTGTAGATTTTGTCTGAAGATTATTCTCTAACCAATACTTTCTATATATATCAGTTGCACAATGTGGTCTAGTGACATTTGTCTCCACTTTCTAGTGGCATTCAGGCCTCACATGAATGAGACTTTGTCTTCTTCAAGTTCAAGTCTTATGAACGAGACTTTGCTACCTGTATGGCGTTAGGGAGGGTTATCTTTTACAGTGTAACTCAAAAATTTATCTGAATAAATTAAAAAAGAAGAGGTTCAGCACTCAAAAACTATTCATTTTTATAAAACTACCTCCTTTTAAAAATTAGTTCCACTCTCTGTCTCTCTATCACAGACACACACAATCCAATTATAAACATCCCAGAACAAATATAAATAAATGTCACAGGTCATCAGTCTATTGTTATTCCCTTATTAAAAGAAAAGTCTCCCACCATCCGATATCCATTAATTGTATGCTCATTTATATAATTTTATACCATTTCGCTGCTTGTTGAACTATCAAATTTCTATATCAATTCTTTTTATAAAGAAACTTCTTTGGTAAAATCAAATAATTCACCATGATTTATGCAACATACATTTATATTTGTAGGAATTGCCCGTTGCTTTTGTTACATTCAAGTCTCGGTTGGGTGCAGCGCTAGTTGCCCAATCTCAGCAGCACTCAAATCCAGTTCTTTGGATCACTGACGCAGCTCCAGAACCCAGGGATGTATCATGGAGAAATTTGGCAATTCCACACAGATTTTTGCCACTTTGCAATTTTGGAGTTATTGTTGCAGCCTCTCTTCTTACAATTTTCTTTGCCATCCCAGTCACTGCAGTCCAAGGGATAGCCAAATTTGAGAAACTAAAGAAATGGTTTCCTCCAGCCATGGCTGTACAGTTGATGTAAGACTTATTCTATTGTTATTTTTATCTTGATTAGTGCTAGTTGAATCATTGAGGTTTGGAATTTAGGCCTGAATCGCACTCATCTGACTATTAATTCCCCACCCTCCCTCCCTCACCACTTGGGCTAACCCCAAGGGTTAATAGTAGGAAGTTTGCTGCTGTGTGATGATTCAAAGAAATGCACAAAAGCTATATTCATGCTTTTTTTTTGTCTATTTTGACTTGTTGCAATTGTCTTTCATTTATTCATCTTATTTGATATCAATTGTATTAATTTGGCAATGTTTATTCGCAAACCACAAGATCCAGATAGACATAAGTCAATGTAGATTGGTACTTCTGTCACTTCATCTTAACTCTCTCTTGGCGTAGTGTTTATGTTTTTTTTACATCATGGATAATTAATGTGTAATCTTCTGTTATTATTCACATGTACAGACCAGGGTTAAGCTCTATTATAACAGGGTACCTTCCAAGTGCCGTTCTGAAAGGGTTCATATACATTGTTCCATTTGCAATGCTTGGAATGGCGAAACTTGCAGGCTGTATCTCAAAGAGCAAGGAGGAAATAAAAGCATGCAACATGGTTTTTTATTTTCTAGTGGGAAATGTGTTCTTTTGGAGCTTGTTATCTGGATCCTTAATAGATGAAATTGGGGAATCTTTTACTCATCCAAAAGATTTCCCTAGCCACCTTGCAAGTGCTGTCTCTGCTCAAGTGAGTTTGTCTCATGTATTTATACTTTAGGCATATTCTGTTGATAAACTGTTTTAATTCACACTCGTCATAACTTATAAAGGATTTTAGTGTCTCTTTTTTTATTAAAAAATTACTAGATGAGAGACCAAACATGGTTTTGCAATATTTTGTTAACCTTATTTTCTTTACTTATTGTTGCATGTATTTCAAATAGTTGTAGATTTTGAGAACAATTGTTGCGTAGTTCTTTTTTCTCATCTTTATTGTCTGTAAGTTATGTCCTTTTTTCTAATACTTGTTTTATCTATTAATGTTTCAGGCAGATTTCTTTGTGACATATATTTTGACAGATGGGCTGTCAGGGTTTTCTTTGGAGATCCTCCAACCAGGATTGCTTTGTTGGGATGCTATAAAGTCCTGTACATATGGCCGTGGAAAAGAGAAAACCCCGTATCTTTACTCATTACCTTACTTCAGAATCATTCCTTTGGTCTCACTGTCTGTGCTGATTGGTATAGTGTATGCTGTTGTCGCACCTCTTCTGCTTCCCTTTCTGATTGGTTACTTCTTGCTTGGCTATGCTGTGTTTATAAATCAGGTTGATCTTTTCAACTTTGCATTTATTATCCAAGTTTATTATTATTGTTACTATAGTATGACATTCTTTTGGCCCCTTTTTTCTCATACGTTAAACATGCATGACCTAAAAGAAATATAAGAGAAAAATAATGAGACCAAGATTTTCATTTTCTTTCCCTCTTTTGCTTGTTTTGTCTGTAACTTTATTTCTTTGACACGGGTTGAGATGCATATTTGTTTCTTTTATTTTTCCTATAATTAGAAGTCTGATTTAAATAAGAGCTACATTGATCCACTGCATAATCAGACCTTTTTAAGTTGTTAGGGGATGGGCCAAGAATATCTATCAACGTTACAGTAGTTATTCTCTGGAAACTGATGTCTGTCATAATTTGTGTACAAATTTTATAGGTCTTCCTTAGAAGTATGTTTGTTCTGGCTGAATGATCTGAAAATCTTTTGTCTCACATAGAGTTGAGAGTAAACACTTTTCTGAAAATGGATGTCACGATCTGATATGTGGCCTACTTGGTCTGACTCTAACCTCAAATAGTGAATTGCTTAAAATTATTTTACACCTGAGCAGCATTTTATTTTATGCACTTTGATCTCAAGTACAAGTGTTATAAACTGTTCCTATGTTGCAGATTGAAGATGTGTATGAAACCGTTTATGAGACATGTGGACAGTATTGGCCTTGCATCCATCATTATATTCTCATTGCAATCATTCTCATGCAAATCACTATGATTGGTATTTTTGGACTGAAATCAAAGCCAGCCGCATCCATTTCCACAATTCCACTTCTCGTGCTGACGTTGATGTTTAATGAGTACTGCAAGATGCGTTTTCTTCCTACATTCAACCTTTTATCTATTCAGGTATCTCTCTTATGAATATTTTGTATATTTAGAGGGTTATGAGAATATGTAAATATAGTATCGTTGAATGAATCTGGTGACTTATATTGAATAGAGTTATGCAAACATTTCCTATGGTGCATTCTTTTGACTAACTAGATTGCCCAAGGAGTTGTAGAGCTTCTTAGTGATAAGTTAGCTGTTTGCTAGTACTTCTATGATGATATGGCCGAGTTTTGAACTTATTTGAATTTGACACTTTCTTTCAGAATGCCAAGGAATTTGATGAACTTGATGAGAAGTGCAATCAGGTGGAGTTTAACTATGAGAATGCTAGCACTGCTTATTGCCCACCTTGTTTGCGCCCTCTGAACTGCATGGAATCAGGGTCAAGCTGCACGGCGCCGTTAGTTTCTTCATCGTCATTTTAAACTCAAGCTACCCCAATACCCATATTTTCATGTGGAAAATCAATGGCAAGAAAACTCCTTTCCTATCCATGGTGTAACTACTTTTTACATGTTTCATCATCATCACCAAGTAAGAAGCCTCATGCATAGTAAGGCATTGACATATATTGACAGAACCCAACCCAAATTCCACTTTGGAATATGAGTCGAATCTTGTGCATGTCCGACACCTGGCGGTTGTGTGACACATTTGGCCAAAATGCCATTCTAACCAAAATTCAATGAAATTCGAGTACGACTTCTGTTGAAAATCCGGCAGAGTCTCCCTTGTAAATTGAACATTTCCCAAAAATTCCCACTTGTAAGACAAGCATATATGTTTTTATATATAACCCAACTGCCAGCATGTAACAAATTATATCAAAAAATCAAGCATCATAATATTTTGGCCTCAAGCCTCAATAAATCAAGTAAATCATTCAGCTAATAAAGTTCATCCCAACTTTCAGAATAACAATAGAACATTAGCAATCTCAAAGACCCCAACTCCTGGCTGCACCTTGTAACACTAGGCTGCCTATGTACCCTTATTGAGGGATCAAGCCAAACGTAGTTCTTTCCATTACTCATATAAGTCATACAATGAACTCCATTTATTTTAGTTTAAGAATATCTCATAACTGAAATTCTCTCCACCTAGGCGTACCCCTAATCCCGATCTGTCAATTCCATCCTCGTAGGCCTCAAAGACACTAAGTCAACCTGAGCCGCAATCCTCGCACCACACGGTCCAGGCGTCCCCGAAATTCGTGGGGCATTATCCGAAATAACCAAATTGTTTCAAGGCACAAAGAGGGGGGGGGGGGGGGGGGGGGGGGGGGGGGTGGTACTCCTACGGCGGGTTTGAAACTCATCTTCCAGAATTATCACAACTTTTCCTACAAAGCTTTTCTCATCTTCGGAACGGTCTAGAAGTGACTCGGGACTCAAAAAGCGATAAAAGTCCCAAAAGTCGACGCGGGACTCTGTGGGGTCCACAACCTCCAAATTCCAATCTGAGAGTTCCTACAGGTTCCAATATGCCTAGGACACATGTCCCGAGAGTTTGGTCTCAATCGGACGGTCGCATTACCCACGATCGTACGATTGGACAATTACTGTAAACCTAGCCCTAGGGTTGGCATTTCCGGAGTATCCGGGACTCCGTTTTACAATCCGTCGAATCCCATACGATCCTGGAATTACCTAGATTAACATATATCCAATTGACTACGATCCAACAGTTCAAAAGTATCGAACCCGGAAATCGCACAATAGGCAAAATTCGTTCGGGGCTCAAACGGTATCCAAACTGGAATCTGGGCACGCCTATGCGCTCGTGACAACTAGGGAATTGCATTGGAACACACTGCCCCTTTTGGCCACAGTGCCCACATGCCGCCAGACGCGCCAGCAGTGCATGGTGCCCAAAGTGATAACGCTTCGCCAGAAAATCTCAAAATCATGGCTCAAGACTCCTACCCTAGGTGTAACACCCTATTTGGAACCACTTTTGTTCTGGGACCTGCCCCGAAAAATGGCCGGAAATGGCCAGAATCTCAACTCGAAATCTGGCCAAAACGTAGTTCCCCAAATCGTTATCCTACACTCAAAATCAACCAATTCCTACCTAACAGGCAGCTAGAACTCGAAGTGTAGATGAGATTCCATACCTTGATCACCGAAAATGGCCACCGGAGGAGAGAGATCGAGCCGGCGAAAATTCTGTCAAAACCCGGCCTTTTCTTCGAGTTCTCCGGCGGCACGAGCGGTGGCTGGCGGCCGGAATTGGCTGAGACGGGACGACGGAGTTGGGTCGGTCCTTTTGGTACCGGTCTTGCATGCTGCCGTGGCCGGTTGGCCGGAGTTCGAAGAGAGGGGGAGAGGAGAGAGGGTCTGTCGCACGGAGGAGAGAGAGTGGTTTTAATGATCTGGCAAATTACCATTTTGCCCCTCACCGTATCTTAACCGTATTTTCTTCGTTATAACTCTGATTCGGGCCCATTACGTGCCTACGAACTCGTATCAACGTGCTCTATGCAATGGTACAATTGAAATTCTCAAATTCATTCCCCGTCAAAAAGTCAACTTTTATACCATTAAATTATTACAAATTTATAAATAAACCCAATCCTAGACATGTATTTATAAAAAACACCCAAACACCATTTAAACATAGAAATACACTTAAAATCAACCCCAAAATCAACAATTGTATATTTTTTGGGTGTGTTTATCAATGGATTTTGAGTGTGTGTAATGATGGGTTTTATGTGTGTTTATAAAGTGTTTTGGGTGTTGGGTTTTTTTATAATTTCAGCCCCCATTTTGGGTGTTTTAGTGAAACTCCCTTAAATTATTCTAAGAGCATAATGATCTTTTACTAGAATACAATAATAATTTAGGATCGGGTTGTTAAATATATAGCAAGTGCTAGAGAAGGAATATGTAGCTACATTCAGATTGATTCTACAGTATCCCATTTTTAGGTGGATACATATAGTGAACCTTATTTTGATGAAATCGAATCTTCCGAAGCATGGAAGCAGCATTTATGATGTGATTAAACTTTTTATTAAACTTGAATAATAATCTTTTCCTTGATTAACAAGTGAAAGCAGTGAAAGATACTAGGCTGAAATAAGCACTGTTCAGATAGGCTTTTGTTGGTAAAATCCATGCTGGTCATGTTTCCGGCTTATGAAGTGTCTTCTGGCCTTTCATGATTCACATAAATGTGTTATTATTTTGTCCATGAAGAAATTTGTAAGGTCTATAGAAATATAGAAATACGTTTTGGACACTTTCATGTGCATAACCCCTCGTATATTCTTGTCCTCAAACACGAGAATGAGTTTATTAATTAAAAATTAAATATCAGGCAAATAAAATTACTTATGCTAATTACAAATTCTGGCAAGGTAAGAGAATTCACAACGGACTTCCTAGACCACCTACTTAGACAATTTTTAGGGAGGAATTGGAAAATACAATTCCAACTATATATACTCCTTATCCACCTTCTAAAATAGGGAGACCACTAGGAGTTCCTAAATTTGATAGAGAAATGACTCATAGTAGAGAAATTATACAATAGTACGGTACTACCACGTGGCAGTGCCAGGAGGTAAACAAATATCCTCGACCTGGCACTGCCACGTGGTAGTACCGTACTATTGTATAATTTCTCCTCAAAGTGGCTCCCTATAATTTAATGTTGCTTTGTTTTATGCACAGTTTAAACTTTTAATTAATGCTAACTATTTTTTTATATTATTTTTTATAGAGATGAACCAATCAATTGAATTAAAAAAATAACTATAGTATTTATGACTCCCTAAACTAGGGAGTATGATTGGAGTTGAAATTTTATTTAGAGAGCTCCTAAAATAACTTGTGTGTTTTTAGCTAAATTTTAACTAAAAAATAGGAGGCATGATTGTGAATGCTCTGAATTTGTATATAGTTTGATTTGCCAGCATTGAAATAACAATTGGAAGTAGGTTTACTTTAGACATTAGACTTTGACTTGTATAATCAAATTGAAAGTTTGGTCCCCAAGGCTTGAATAGAGTGCTAAGGGAACTGCATTAATAGCCTCCACGAGTCCCCTTAAAGTTTGATTAACGCATTTGCTATTCTCAGGACCAGAAGAATCGGTGACATAATTGCCACTTGAGCTTGAGAAGTAGTAATGTCATGGAGCCTAGTCTAGGAGAAGAACTTAGATGTAACATGGATGCCACCGTTGCGCTTGGAAAGTTGCATTGTCATGTGGGAAAGTTAAACCACATAACAATAAGTGCTTGATTCGGATAGCGCCACAGTGTTTTGGGTTGTGTGATTAATTATATCTTCAAGTTATATTCGAATTTTCAAGTATTCATATTGTCTATGAAATCTGATCATTCTTTGCCATAATGGAGGGCAAAGTACAAATGGCTGTCAGATGCCAAGATTGAGAGCACAGTTTCAGGAAGGACTTAGCATTAGGGTCATTCCAAGATTCAGATTAAACTGGTCCTTAATTAAGTAGGTTTAGTGGTTCTTTTCCTTTTGATAATTCACCATTTGAGAACTAATTAATCCAGAAAAAGTCTCATGTGCTGAGGGTTAAGGTTGATTCTATTGAATTATTGAAAAATATTTCCTTGAACTGATAAATGCGAAGTTGGTATTACACAGTAGCCATATAACAGCAAGAACAAGCAGAAATATATAATAAAGTTCCAAGAACAGTTTCTTCTTTCCTAGTCATATCCTTTTTTTCTTCTCTCTCTCTCTCTCCATGCAGAAATTTATTCTATACCAATACACAACTTCTATGCTTTCATCCCTTAACAATATTGTTATAGTTGAAAGAACACTAGGCTAGCTTTAGGGAACCAGAGGAAGGAGTAGCTTACAAAGGAAAGGATGTGGAGGAAAAGGCTTCTTGAATGTTGGAATGGGTGGAGGAAGAGGCCTAGTTGAAAACAGGAGAGGGAAATGGTCTCGATGGATATTCTGGAGGCCGATATCCTGGATCCCCAATTTTTCGTTCCACAACTGGCACCGGCGGATGGTCCGGCTTCTTAAAGGGTGGAATCTTGAAGATTGGAACTGGTGGAGGGAGTGGCTTCTTGAAGATTGGAACTGGTGGTGGAAATGGCTTCTTTACAGTGGGAAACTTATGTAGAGGTGGTTTCTTGACGGAGGGCTTCGGTGGAAATGGCTTCTTTACTATGGGAATCTTATGTACAGGTGGTTTCTTGAAGAAGGGTTTTGGTGTAGGCACTGCAAACTTCCCTTCTTCATTGAGCTCTGCAGCCTCTGTTTGGAGCTCTTCAATTTGGACATGCATGTGCACAAGAGATGCAGAAGAATGTCATTATGTGATCTCAAGACTAATATATAATTACACACATATAAATATATATATATCTCACCTGAAAAAGCTTTGTCTAGTACTACTTGTTCTCCAGCGACCTCAACAGTCTCTGCATTGCTGTAGCAGAAGCTTACTGCAAACAAGCAGAACCAGAGCCCCAGAAGAGCTCCTTGGAAAGCAAGACGGGTCTGCATTGAAAACCTTTCTTAAGCTGCCACTTATAGAAGTGCTTAATCCAACTTTTAAAATTTGGTTAAGTTAGCTTCGGTGCTTTTTATCAGTTTCAGCAAGCATGCTATATATAGTAAGTTTAGGAGGCTTAGGTCTGCTTGCACTTAATTATTAATTAAGGGGTTGATATCAAGGTCATTAAGATTGAAAAGGATTTTAGTACATAGAGGCAACATGTCACTGGCTTTGCAGCTCAAATGGTATTTATTTCATCCAATGACAACTGCTAGCAAGCATAGCTGTTCTGATTGTTCAAGTTTGTCAAATGGCATTAATGCTGACTAAGAAGTATCAAAGGATGCTACCACTAACTATGAAGTCACACATTTTGTCATTTGGATACGAACCAAAGCTTAATTTGTCATGTACTTTTTGGGGTATATTTGGTGATCCTTTGAAATAATAAAATCCAAGCGCTTACTCCATGTGAGAAATGATATTTTTACTAATTTGTAATCAGAATGAGAGTGAGGAGTCGGAATCAGTCATTCCCACTAGAGTCACCATTATTTGTTTCCAATTTTTGTTCACCTAGTATACTGTTGGGAATAAATATTATTATTATTTTAATGTTTACTCTAAAATATCCAAGCTTTAGAGATAGGCTTGAGAATGAATGAGTTGCAAACATGCCACTATTAGTAGTGTAGAAACCCTAATAAACTTGAAAGAATTAAGTAACTTGCGCACTAAGAAACTGACTTAAACTCAAATGATTGTGAATTGGAAGGGAAACTAATCAATGAAGATTTATAGAAATATGTTTTGGACACTTTTATGTACATAACCCCTTACTCTTTTCCTCACACATAAGAATGAGTTTAGTAATTAAATATTAGGCAAATAAAATTACCTATGCATAACTACAAATTCTGGCGTGGCAAACTACAAATATTAGGCAAATAAAATTACCTATGCATAACCCCTTACTGGTTGAGAAATAGTAATGTCATGGAGCCTAGTCTTGACGAATTTTGGGTTGTGAGATTAAATCTTCAAGTCATATTCGATTTGTAAAGTTTGTTAGATTTCTTTATATGCGTGTTCAGGATCTTTCACACAATCTGAAATACGTAAAGACATACCCTGCGTCATCTTTCTTGAGTACACAACCTCAAGTTCATGTTCTAATCTTATATTTTCAAATTGTAAAGCATCAAAAGAATTAGATTGTTTAACCATGTTGTTTTCAAGTGATTTTACCATCTCAAACAAGTTTTGAATCTCAATGTCTTTCTCAAATAACATGCATTGCAAAACAGAATTTTCAACCACAAACTTATCATGCACAACAACCTTTTCATGCTCAACTAATGACTTTTCAAACTCAAATAAAATCAATCTATGAAGAAGCAAGGATTTGTCATTTTCAAGTACATTCAATTTCTCAATCAAATTAGAATTTTCTTTTTCAAGAGTTCTAACTTTATGATACAATTCATACATGTCAACTTCATTCTCATACAAATTATCACTCGACTTCCTTTTGGCCATTTTGAGAGTTTCAATCAGTTCATCAAGGTCCTTGACCTTTTCTTCAACCATGTGATTATGTTCTTTGAAATTACAGGTTTCATTGAAAAGCATATCATACTTTTCACATAGTTCCCTATATGACTGGTCATCTTGTTCCTTGTATGATTGGTCATCATGTACCCTATATGGCTGGTCATCTTGTTCCTTGTATGACTGGTCATCATGTACCCTATATGACTGGTCATCCTGCCTATCATCTCCAGACATAGATTCATTTCCTGAATCATATTTTCTTTCCTTAACTTCATGAACTCTAGCAAGGCTAGAGTTATGAACAGAACCAACAAGGGCAAAATTATTTGCCTCTTCATAAGATGAAGTGATATAGTTGTTGGAATCATCACTATCACTATCAGTCCATTGTGCACTAATTGACTCTTCTCTCTTATTAGACTTTGTCATGTGGTTATGTGCACATTCCACATCAATGTGACCAGCATCGCCACATAGATAGCACTTTACAAGACCCTTCAAACTTTTGTCCTCCCTAAAGCCATAAGAGTTCAAAAAATTCCTCTCCTTAAAAACATTGTCTTGACACACACATGTAGACGAACTAGAAAGATTTTGACAATTCCTAGTGACTTTGGTTTTATCTTTAACAACCCTCCTATATTTCTTAACAAACAAGGCAAGCTCATCATGAATGCAAGGAGCAATTTGATCCATTTTTATGTTTACAAACCTAATAACAATTAGCACCCAAAGGATCTCTCTATTTATGTTAAGAGCTGGTGCTCTGATACCAATTGAAAATGGTACTTAGGTGACGATGGGTAAATTTAAAAGATATTCAACCAAGAACGCAGCAAACTTCACACACTCTAGACCTTGACCAAATACTCTTATGACTAGTCAACTGTCATATATGAATTATACCAAACAATAACATACACAGAGCACACCAAGATGTACCTGCAAGCCTAGAGAATTACTAGTGACAACCTAGGCACTCAGAATGACCCGTCAATCTAGGCATCCCATGTGCTAGCAACAACTATGGTGAAAGTGTGTGAAGACCAAACAGCAGAATCAAGCAAACACCAAACAGCAGAAAAAGACGACTAGTCAACTGCACAAACCCAGATGACTAGTCAACTGTCAAGAACACAAACCCAGAAAATTTACAGAGTTGGAAACCAGAAACTGTTTACCCAGAAATCCACCATTGGGAAAAACTGGGGGTCATCAACTGACTAGGCAATCCACTAAGTAGAAAAAGATTCTTACAAAGGAACACAAGCAAGCTCAAGAAAAACCTAGATCTATTTAGGAAGATGAGCTATACCTCCATTGCAGAGGTAGAATGCAAAAACAAAGCATTCTGCCTCTGCCTCTCTCTTAACCTCTCTGCCGCTGCTGGGATTTCAATACATTGATTGGGTAAGTATTTTTCGTCATTAGTTTAAAAGTATTAATTTAAGTTCGTACTAAGGTTTTTTAATTTGTTTTCGTTAGGGATATTTGTAATTAGCGATTGGTGGAAAACGATTGAGAAGGTATTTTATTCGTTTTATATATTAATAATGTTAATTTGTTATGTTTAAAATGTTCTTGTGAAGTTATATTTATATTATGTTGTTGTGTGTAACGTAGTACAATCTGTTGTGATGTACGAAGTTAATTGAAATTAACTTCGTGCTTTTATTTTTATGTTTAGTAACACTTAGTTTCCCGTTCGAGATTAGTTGGATTTCGTGCATGGATGCGTAATGCATGAATGCGGTCCAATTAATTCTTGAATTGTCCCATTATTTGGACAGTTTGGTAATGCATAGTGTTGTCACGTAATCTATGGCTACAGGATTAGGTTTCGATTGTGGATATTTCGTTGTCATCTCGGTACGTTCTTCGGGTGGTACGTAGGTATTTATACCTATGGCCACCTCAAGAACTGTAGCGAGATGCTGGCGAAATTCATCCACGTCGAAATCTAATCTCATGTAGTCGTAGGTTACGTGGCAGGAGTATGCATTCCCGAATGGGATAGGACCCTTACCGGAGGCATAAGGTGACATTATAACTTCGTATGAAGTTGTTGTGATTGTTGTGTTGTGATTCTGGTTTCAGGAATTATGGACAGAAGGTGGATACAAAACCCGAACAGATGCGCAGACGAATACTTGGATGGAATCGAGGATTTTATTGAGTTTGCACGTAGACACAACCCGGGTGCAACTAGAATCCGTTGTCCTTGTAGGAGGTGCAACAACACGTTATGGGAGACAATTGAAAATGTTGGATTTCATTTAGTAAGGAATGGAATGATTGAGACATATAGCATTTGGAACCTTCACGGGGAACAATTAGAGCATGCTTCGTCTTCAAATGCCACAAGAGTGGACAATGTTCAACCTATTGTGGATGCTAATGATCAAGTCATGGATATTATACAGGATGTTTTTCCATTTGCATCGACCAACATGAATCAAGAAGAGCAAGATGATGTGCCTACACCAATAGACAGTGCGGAGTTTGAACAATATGAGAAATTGTTAAAAAATGCCAACCAAGAGTTATACCCGGGGTGCGAGAGCTTTTCCGTTCTCACGGCCATTGTGGAGCTAATGCACGGAAAAATAAAGTATCGTATGTCGAACCTGTGTTTCGATTACTTTTTGGGGGTTTTCAAGAGAATGCTTCCGACGGACAATTGTTTGCCGAAAGACCATAAACAGGCGCAGAAGGTGTTGAATGGTCTTGGATTGGGTTATGAAAAAATCCATGCTTGCAAAAACAATTGCATGTTATTCTACAAAGAGCATGAATCGTTGGATACATGTCCTATATGCAATGAGTCGAGGTTCAAGATGACATCTCAGAATAGGACGACTAAGATCCCACAAAAAGTCATGCGTTATTTGCCCCTGAAACCTAGGTTGCAGCGATTGTATATGCCGACGCATACTGCCACAGACATGAGATGGCATAAGGAAAAACAGGTAGACGATGATGTGATGCGGCATCCTGCAGATGGGGAGGCATGGAAAGAGTTCGATCGAACGTTCCCCGAGTTTGCTGCTGATCCCCGAAATGTTAGATTGGGACTTGCCACTGACGGATTCAATCCGTATGGGGTTCTAAACCAACACCACAGCACTTGGCCGATTTTCGTATTCCCATATAATTTGCCGCCTTGGAAATGCATGAAAAAAGAATACATGATGATGACTGTTTTGATAACTGAGGATCTTGGGAGGTCAATCGATGTTTACTTAAGGCCGCTGGTTGATGAGCTGAAGGATTTATGGACAAACGGTGTTCGCACGTATGATAAATCAACTGGGAAGATGTTCACTTTGCGGGCAGCAGTTATGTGGACTGTGAATGATTTCCCAGCATATGCAATGGTTTCTGGGTGGAGCACAAAAGGTTATATGGCATGTCCTGTATGCAAGGAAGATGTAACTTTTGGTTGGCATGCTGGAAAAGTTTGTTACCTTGGTCATCGGAGATGTTTGCCATGGGACCATGAGTGGAGGGAAAAAGATAAAGAGTTCGACGGGAACACAGAGCGTCGCCTTAGACCCAGAGAATGGTCCGGTGATGAGATATTGGACCAGCTTAACCGGTTGGATTTTGCTCCCTTCGGGAAAACAGTTAGTCGTATCAGACCTTCTACACATATGAACTGGACGCACAAGCCTATGTTTTTTGAGCTCCCATATTGGTCGAAACTAAAATTGAGGCACAATCTAGATGTGATGCATGTTGAGAAAAATGTATTCGACACATTGGTGGGCACGATTCTAGATATCGAGGGGAAGACAAAGGACACGATCAAAGCTCGTCTTGATTTGGAAAGAATGGGCATACGAAGGGGTTTATGGATGAATAGGGACAATGATAAAGCTAGAAGGGATCTTGCATTCTTTTCTATGAAACCGAATGACAAGAAAGAGTTTCTAAAGTTTGTATCGTCAGTAAAGTTTCCCGATGGGTATGCTTCTAATATCGCACGTTGTGTGAATGTTGACGGGGGTAAATTTACTGGACTTAAGAGCCATGACTGCCATGTGTTTATGCAACGCCTACTTCTTGTTGGTATTCGACACCTATTGCCGGAAGATGTAGTGAAGCCAATCATTTTGTTGTCCAGATTTTTTTCCCAACTGACGGCAAAAACTTTGCGAAAAACGAACATGTTTCAGTTGCGCCATGACATTGTCCAAGTCCTATGCAAGTTTGAGATGATATTTCCTCCAGCTTTCTTCACAAGTATGATGCACGTGATGGTTCACTTGCCAGAAGAGGCATTGCTTGCTGGTCCTGTCAACTATCGCTGGATGTATCCAATAGAAAGGTATATAATCCTTATCGTTTGTGTATGCATCATTATCACATGCTTGCTAATTTCAATCATATCGTTTTATTTTGGCAGGCTTCTCGGAGAGCTGAAAAAAAGTGTACGCAACAGGGCGAAGCCCGAAGGATCAATCGTAGAGGCTTGGGTTCAATATGAGTCGCTTACTTTCTGCGGAATGTATTTAAAAGATGTGGAGACGGTTTTCAATCGTCCTCAGCGCAATCATGATGGAGGTATGAGAAATGAAAAACTTTCTGTTTTTGCCCAAAGCGCACGACCCTTTGGAGATCCTGGACGCGGAGAGTCGTTTTCTAGAAATGACATGGAGGTAGCGCATTGGTTCGTACTGAACAATTGTGATGAGATCATGGGATACTTATATGAGCATGAAGAGATGATGAAGCGAGAACATCCATCACATTTGGTTGCCCAGAAACACCGTGAATTGTTTCCACAATGGTTTTTGGATTCTGTAAGTTATCAGTGTTTGTTATTTGAGAAATATAAATTGTAGTTTTTAATTTTGTCAGACTAACATATGAATGGTTTTGTATAATATTAGGTGAATAAGTTGAAATCATCGAATTCCCCAACTTACAGTGATGAGTTATATAACTTGGCGTTCGGCCCGATTCGCGCTGAATTGTTCTCGGGTTGTAATGTCAACGGCGTCAAATTTTTGGGCGAAGCACGAGATGACAAGTTGTGTACGCAAAACAGCGGTGTCCATGTCCCAGGTGGAGGCGAAAGTACGGACATTGATTTCTATGGCAAACTCACAACTGTCGTGCAATTGCTTTACAAAGATCGATACCAAGTGATCATGTTTAAGTGTCGATGGTTTGACACCAACCCAAATAGGCCGGGAAGTGTTAAAATCGATCATGGCTTACTATCTGTGAACATGAACAGAACTTGGTATGATGACGACCCTTATATTTTGGCAAACATGGCAACACAAATTGTGTATCTAGATGACCCTAAAGCCGGAAGCGGTTGGAACGTTGTTCAAAAGATGGATCACAGGAACGTGTATGCTATACCAGAACTAGACCCAACTGACAACGACGTCAACAATGTGGCTGACCAACGTTTAGAATCTTCAATGGAAAATGATGCGGAAACACTTCGAGATACTAATGTTATACAAGAGCCATTTCAAATACAAGGAGTGTCTTCAATCGAAATACCGATTCAGTCAATTACAATTGACCTCGGTGATCTTCCGCGATATGATGTTGCAGTTGGCCCGAGCAACGACGATGATGTAGTTATAGAGGAGGCGGAGGAGGAGGAGGAGGAAGAGGATTGGGAGACCGAAAGTGATGATAGCGACGATAACGAAAGTTATTATAGTTCAGAT